AATTCTTTTCACCCAATGCCTTACTGAAATATGCAATTGGGCGGCGATTTTGCATCAAAATGGCTCAAATTCCTGTTCCAGAAACATCACATTTTGCATCAAAATGGCAACCTCAACACCGATGCCTCCATTACACGTTTCTTCAAATCATCAAACGCTTGTCGAGCCAGAGCATCCCATTTGAAGTCATATATTTTTGTTAGAGTAGTTAGTGGTCGTGCAATCTTACCATAATCTTTTATAAACTTCCTATAATAGTCAGGAAGGCCTAGGAAACCCCTAACCCCCTTCACGTTCTTTGGCCTTGGCCACTCATGAACACTCTTTACCTAGGTAGGGTCTACTGCCACTCCTTGTACAGAGATGATATGACCCAAGTATTGATGCATGTTTATTTTACCTCAAATTTATAAATTAAATTAGGTCAATTGCATGCATTTTTTTGTAACAGTTGAACAATGTTTTTATATATTACTGTTGCATTTAACTTGTAGTGTAGTCTCTGTGTTTTGTTGAAAATACAGGTGTAATTAGAACAATTTTGGTGTGGGCTTGTGTCACTCATAGGCTGACAGTGGAATTCTTAATTTTCATTGTTATTGGACTTGGGCTGGAAAAGGAAAAGGCAGTTGTAGCAGAAAGGAGGGCTGACGTAGAAAGTTGGCTATTGAAGTTAAAAAGCTGAAGAGAGAGCAAAGAAAAAACATCATCGAAGAAGGAAGCAAGGTAAAAAGTTTTTTTTAGGTTTTGAGTTTTTAGAAGCTTTGATGGAAGACTAAACTTTTTTCCTATGTTAGAGGATTAATGTAATATTCTATAAGACAAATTCTGAACTTATTTATCTTGATTCATTGTAATTTCATTTACTCTATTACTTTATCTATGATTTTTTTTATGTTTAATTTTAAGCAGTTATATTTGAAAAAAATGATACTGTTTATGTTGATAGATAAGGTAAGTTGAGTTTTTTTTTTTAATTGGAAAATTATACAAGCTTAACTAGTTTACGTGGAGCAAAATATTAACCATCCAAGTTTCAGTGAATTTTTCTTCTTCCAAGGAATTGGGAAATTAAAAGTTCGATGAATACTTTTACTTACCTAAGGGATTAGGAAGTAAATAACACTTTTAACTTTAGTGAGTAAATTTAATTCTTACATCAATTAAATAGACTAAGAATTTGTAAGAAGGGATATGAAATTAATCCTCTAGCATATATTTTACTACAAAAAAAAATTAACTTTTCTGTTGTCATTCTTTTAAACTTTGATTACTCAAAATTAAGAAAAATTAATGATCTGGTGAAGACGATAAAATAGTTACTTTTGTAACATTTGATCAACTTACCAAAAATATACATCAAGTATTTAACTTGTTCTTGACCAAAAGTGCATTTTTCATGTCTAGCAAACAATTTGTTATGCCTCAAAACTTCTAGGACCTCTTGAAGCAACTGTAAATGTTCTTGTCATCCCTTACTATACACGAGAATATTATAAAAAAAAACCAGCACCCCTTTTCTTAAATAATCTCTGAAAACATCATTTATCAAAGCTTGGAAGGTAGCATTCATCAACCCAAAAGGCATTACGAGATATTCAATATAGCCCATTTGCCAACAATTCCTTCACTTGTCTCTCTATTTCATTCTTGTCTTGTGATGATGAAGGCATCGATAAGGTCGCACATTAATTGGGCTTGTTTCTGGTTGGAGACTAATACTATGCTCCCGAGCTCGTGGAGGAGGCAAACCGATTGGTTCCTTAAAAACATCTATATTTTTTCTCAAAATACTTTCTAAGGCTTCTTGTTGTTCCTGGTTACGTTGTCCTCCCATTAAATGGCACAGAGAAATGAATCTCAGTTTTCTCGGTGGGAGTCTCATCAATGTCTTTTCTCTTGAGAAGTATTAATCTTCATAATTTGTTTCTTCCAATCCACACGCATTTTCCCTAAACCACGTCATTCCCAAAATTAAATCAATCTCCTCCAATTCAAAGAGATAAGCGTCAACCACAAAACTACATGCATCCACCTCTACAGTTAAATTGTGACAACAAACCCTACCTGTCAAAATCTGATGATCATCGCCCAACAAAATTTGCATACTCCTTGTCTCCTCCCAACTCCATCCCATAGCCTCCACTAATTTTCAAGAAATAAATTTATGGGAAGCGCCATTGTCAACGAGTATGAAAAGAGGGATGTCAAACACTTTTCCTCGCACCTTTAGTGTTCGTGAATCACCCATTTGTTCTATTTGAAAACTTAATAATCTCAAAACACTACATTCCCCATCAGATTTAACTTCCACGACTTCATCTTCACGTCTAGACACGCGATTATCTTCCTCACACGCCACTTGGATCTCATCGTCCACTAACATGACACGTAATTACTTCACAGGACATTGATGGAGTGGGCCATAGGACCCACCACACTTAAAGCAAAACCCTTCTTGGCGACGCTCCAAAAGTTCTTGGTAGGCCTAATGCCTAACACCCCTGTCTCTGGCCCATTTCTATTTTTTTCTCCAGGATCAGCAAGTATGTTTGGGCTAGGTCCATTACCACCCCCTTTTCCTCCAAAACTCCTTGAGTTATTTCGACTCGGTTCACTGGAGCTTACTCGGAAATCCGAATACGAACTCTCATTCCAAATGTCTCCTTCTTCTCACTCCAATTTCTGTCATGGCTAGACAGCTCCAGCTCAATTGCTTTTGCAACATTCATCATCCTTCCACGAGACATCGGGTTCACCACATTTAAACTTCTCATTCTCGAACGAATTTCTGCACGTAAGCCATGGATGAAATAAGCAAAATACTGTTCATCATAAAGTTTTGGAATCTGGGAAGTTAAAACATTCAAATTTCTGAATCTATTCTTCGACTCCTCCGATTTGCTGCAAAGAGGTTAATTGTTCAAATACTCCTCCTTCACCGATCCCTCCGTAACGTTCTAGCAACTCTTTCTTAAGATCATCCCAAGTCAACTCATCGTAATCATTGAACAAGGCATTGGAGAAATGGATGGTTCCATTTTCCATACATAGGTGTGCGAGATTCACCTTCACGTCCTCACTTGTTTCGTAAATACGAAAATAAATCTTAGCCCTCGTAATCCAACCAGTTGGATCCTCTCCATTAAACATGGGTAATTCCACTTTCTTTAGAGATAGGTGGAATTCCTCCAAGGCTATTCCCTTTAATGGCTTCAAGCTCACACTCATCTTTGATTTCTCACTCTCCTTCGTCTTCTGCCTCACTGAATTTTCCCCGCCATTTTCACCTCCACTCTTCCTCATACTCAGGGAGATGGCCTCCATGAGTTTCGTCTGTTCCTCCGATTGTTTTTGTAATTGGTCCATAATCAACTTACTCTCTGTTGCTTTAAGACGCAATTCTTCTATCGAAGATCGCACCTGATCCAACTCTCCTTCTACGTGGCTCAAGTGTGCCTCCATTTCCGTTGGTTTCTGTTTTTTATCCTTCTTCTGTTTCCTGGTGGTGGGCATCCACCTCCGTTGATTCTAATCTGACAGGTCGGACCAAATTGATGCAAACCCATAAAATAGAGTATAATATATATAAACTGAAAACTGAATGAAACAAGGACCTTGATTGAACTAAAAAAGATAAAAGATCAAGAAAAAAACAGATGGGAATGGGTACCCAATCTGCCTAGAGCTAAGCTCCTTAGAGTCACCTCTCAAGATAAGTCTCCTCTACCTCAATGAGTGATAACCAAAAAGAATCCCCCTTTCCTCCCTATTTTGATACTAAATAACCGTAAGGATAACAAAAGGTAAAATACTCCAAAATACTCCTTAACTACCAATCATGACTCCTCACCTTCTAATGCCTTTTCCTTAGGTAAACACGCCCCCATCTTCCATGATTGCCTTCATGCACTAACGGCTCGTTTAATTCCCTCTAATGGTTGTATCACTTATTGTGGTAAATAATTTTGCATGAACATTTTTTAAAGAAATTGCATTGTTGTTTTTTTTTTACTTTGAAGTTTTTGATATTAGTTTTCTCAAAATATCTAGAGTACTGTCAAAGTCAGTATTTTAATGTTTTTTCTGCTTGTTTTCTGGTTGAATCAATACAGTACCACAGGGCAAGCTGTCTTCTCCTAAGAAGAAGTGGTAAGCCTCACGAAAAAGACGCACGAGCTTTTGTTACCCCCGCACAGATCGGGCTTATCATCTTCTCTAGCACTGCACCGAATCCTTCAGGTTCGTCATGTAAAATATGGATTAATTTCTTCTCTTCTTAAATGAGTGCTGATAAATTCTATGCATGGTGTGTTTCTTACTTGCTGTTTGCTGCTTGTGTTCTGTTTTTGTGTCACATGAGTCGGAGCTTTTAGCTTCATATAAAAATTGGTGCCTTCAACTTGGAAGATAGATTGATGTTCAATTAATCCTCTCATATATATAGTGATTACAGCTATATCTGATATCAGTATACTAGGATTTTTCAGGTGACATGTAGTGGATTACATACAGATTTTATTTTCAACCAGAGATATATGCTTGACATCTTTACTTAAGCTTGCTTAAAGGGACTAACTTTTCATATGTCAACCATGCATTTTTCTCAGCCAGGCTAAATGTGTATCAAATCGGAGTTATCCCTTCGCTTACATCAATTTTGTGTAATTTAACCCCTACAATTAGTACTTTTACTTTTTACTTGTTAGATATTAATAATTAAACTTCTAAACTAGCACATTCAACATGTCAACGCAAAATTAAGATGTACTTCCTTTTATATATGTCGTATTTAACATGAGTTCTTAGATATTTTCATTTCACCCCGTAATTATTTGGGAGAACTAAAATGTTAATTATACTGATCCAGATTTTTTTCTTTTTTCTGAATATGAAGTTAAGTACTGATATAATTAAGCTTTATATGCCGTGGATTTTATTAATGTATTAAACAATTAACATGAATTTCCTTATCATTTTCCAGGACACAAAAACCTGCAATGGATTCAACGACCCTTAGCCACCTCCACTTTGTTTTCATCCCCTTAAACGCCCCAGGTCATCTTCTCCCTATGGTAGACATGGCCAAATTGTTGGCACAACGCAAAGTGAAAGTAAGCATAGTGACCTCAACCCTCAATTCCATCCAATTCCAAGATAGCATCGACAAAGAGATTCGATCTGGGTCATCCATCCAAATTCTAAATGTTAAATTTCCATGTGCGGAAGCTGGACTACCAGAGGGATGTGAGAGCATAGACACTTTGCCTTCGATGGATCTACTGATCAACTTCAACACCGCTTTAGACTTGTTGCAGCAGCCACTAGAAGAGCTGCTTGAAAAGCAAAGACCCGTCCCAAGCTGCATAATTGCAGACAAATATATCATTTGTGTGGCTGAAATTGCTAACAAGTTGAATGTCCCAATAATAATATTTGACGGGACTAGTTGTTTCTTTCTCCTATGCAACCACAATTTGCTAAAGGATAAGGTCTATGAAGTTGTGTCTAGTGAAGAGAAATTTCTTGTCCCCAAAATTCCCCATAGAATCGAATTGCAAAGATCTCAACTCCCTGGGATATTCAATCCCGGCACAAATCTCAAGTTGAATGCTCGACGTGAGAAAGTAATGGAAGTTGCAGAAAAAGCGCATGGGATAGTGGTTAATAGTTTTGAAGAGTTGGAAGCAGAATATGTTAAAGAGTATCAAAGATTAACGGGTCATAATGTATGGTGTTTTGGCCCTGTGTCATTGTGCAATAGGGATGATATGGACAAGTCTCTAAGAAGCAAGAGAAACTTAAGTTATGAGAATGAGTGTGTGAAGTGGCTAGATTCATGGTCTCCAAAGTCAGTGATTTATGTCTGCTTTGGTAGCCTAAACCGTGCAACACCGGAGCAGTTGATAGAGCTCGGGATAGGATTGGAAGCGACTAAAAGACCGTTCATTTGGGTGCTTAGAGGTGCATATGGAAGAGAGGAGATGGAGAAATGGCTGCTGGAAGATGGGTTTGAAGAAAGGGTGAAAGGGAGAGGGTTTTTGATCAAGGGTTGGGCGCCACAAGTGTTGATCTTATCACATAGCGCAATAGGAGTGTTCGTGACACATTGTGGATGGAATTCCACACTCGAAGGGATTTGTGCTGGCGTGCCACTGGTAACTTTTCCTCTGTTTGCTGAGCAGTTCCTCAATGAGCAACTTGTTGTAGAAGTAGTGAAGATTGGGGTGAGAGTGGGAGCTAAATCTGTTGTGCGCTTGGGAGAGGAACATAAGTCTCGGGTTCAGGTGACTAGGGAAAATATTATGGATTCTATTGAGAAGGTAATGGGTGAAGGCCAAGAAAAAGAAGATATAAGGGAAAGGGCTAGAAAGTATGCAGATATGGCAAGGAAAGCAATGGAACAAGGTGGATCTTCTTACCGCAACATGTCCCTACTAATTGATCACATTGTGCATGTCAAAGGGTTAGACCAAAGCTAAGGCACAAATGGATTCACCCTTGGTTTGCTTGAAATATACCTGAGTTCGTACCTTACTCTTCAAGGGTCTCCAAGCCCTTATAAATGCCCAAGAATTTCTGTCCCTTGGACCATGGCAGTTTCTATTTCTTTTCCCCTCTGGAACCATTTATTTTTTATGTTTTGATTGAGTGATTTTTTCTTGGTTTGTTTCTGTTATATGTTTGACATGGATTTGAAATTTACAACAACAGTTAAGAGTAAAAATTATAATATGAAGAAAGAAGTCTCTGTGTAGCTTTCAACCCCAACTATTCCCAGAGTGGAAACTTTAAGCTCCAACACCAACAATCTCTCCAATTTGACCGGATTAAGAATTGGTTTGAGTAAGAAGGCTTGAGTTTGTGCCATTTGTTAAGATAGACAAACTGTGGGCATGCTATAAGAAATTCGTGGATAAAGAAAAAGAAAAAATATGAAGTGTGTGTATAGTCACGTAGAATTAATTTATGATACTGGCCTCTTTTTCTTATATTTGTTTGTTGGAGTTAATTTTGTGGTAGACAACAACATGGTCAAAGGCTGGAACTCAGTGGGAGAATCAAAGCATATGAAGAATAAACAAGGTCAATGTTCGTTCATAGAGTTCTTTTGGTAGTAATAAACAAGGATTATGAAGAATGAACGTGACACAAGTTGTTGCTTTGTATGGAGTTTTCCTCTTTACATCAAATTGACAAGAATATATATTTAGACAGTTTCTTTGTAAGGATTTTTTAGAAGTTAATGTGTAATGTGTTTTCAACAGTATATCATGATAGCTGGTTTAAAATTTATTTGTTAATTATGAGATAAATGTAAAATTTATAATTAGCATTTTTTTTTTGGGTAAGAAATGAAATGTTTGAACGTATTTGATATTTATATTGTAGTTGGATAACATGCAAGAATTAATTCTACTTCATAAAATCACTTGTGAAAAAAATATAATTAACAATTATTTCAAATATAATTTCAAAATAGTTACCTTGGAACCGTGACATGAACAACCACACTCTCCTTGTTCTCCCTCCCGAAGTGATCAGAGAAATTCTTCTGAGATTACCCGTTAAATCCCTTTTGCGTTTCAAGAGTGTTTGTAAGTCATGGCTTTCTCTCATTTCCGATCCCCAATTTGGCATTTCCCATTATGACCTAGCTGCCACACCCACCCATCGAATCCTACTCAGATCGAACGATTTTTATGCTCAATCCATTGATACAAAGGCACCGTTTATAGATCACGAAGAGGGTACGCTGTGTTTGCTCCGTGCAGTGCATCTCCTTCTTCCTCCTCCTTCTCCCCCACGCATTCCCGATTTTTTTCACTTCGATGATTTTCGCAATCAACCTCACATTCTGGGCTCATGCAGAGGGTTCGTTCTTTTATACTACGAGAGGGGCGATGACCTCATTCTGTGGAATCCCTCAATCGGTGTTCATAAACAATTACCACACTTTCAATATGATAGCATAACCCGTGAATTTCTCTATGGTTTTGGATATGACCCATCAAAAGATGACTATTTGATTACTAGTATTCCATTCTCTTGCCCCTTTTCTGCTGAAAATGAAATCCACGTTTTCTCGTTCAAAACTGCTTCCTGGAACAATGTCCCTGTCAATATTCCATATTCAGATCCTGGCAATTGTCTTGCAGTCAGAGCTGGGTCACTCTTCAATGAGACTCTTCATTGGTTGGTTTTGTCCAAGGAGAAAAAGGTTCCTATCATTCTTGCCTTTGATCTGGTACAAAGGAGTTTTTCGGAGATTTCTCTGTTGGATCATTTAACTATGGAAAAACGTCGAGTTTGTGGTTTGAGGGTAATGGGAGGATGTCTCAGCTTGTGTTACTCGGTTGAAGGCAGTGCAGTGACGGAAATATGGATGATGAAAGAATACAAAGTGCAGTCTTCTTGGACGAAGTTCATTATTATACCTACTTGTGACTTTTACCCCATATGCATCACCAAAGATAGTGGAATTTTTGGATCGGATATGAGAAGTTTGGAGAAGTATAATGATAAAGGAGAGCTGCTAGAGCATCGCACATGGTGTACAAGAAGAGTTGTTCTACTGTGTCAATCTACAGTCTGCAAGGTATAGAGAGAGTTTACTGTCACTTCCCACCGTCATTCGGAGTACAAGTGAAGATGACCATCAGCAACTGATAAGAGACATCAGGGTATGCATTGTTCGCCAATTTCTTTTATCAATGTATTTTTATTCATATTGCTGATTATATTTCTTTCGTGAAATTCAATTAAAATTTTAAATGCATGGAAAGATGGGATTGGTGGTGGTGGATTCAATTTTTGCATGGATAAAAAAAATATATTCGATGTCTTGATTTCCATATCACTGTTTGCTTCAAAATTCTCAAGAGGGGGGGTCCCATTAGTATTCTAACATCTACAATAAGCTAATGTTTGCTGCAGGCTGCCAAATTTACAAGAATATATAGTTAGCTGGATGTCACTTTCCCTCAATTGGTGACATTACCAGAAGAAAGCATAGCACTTGGAGGAGAATGGCATGTATATCTTAGTGCAGAACCAGTGTCCATTTTAGAGGCGATTTCAGTAGAGGTGGAGTACCAACAGACTTTACAGTTTAACTATTTCAAAGGTCGAGTTAGCAAATTGTTGTTGGCACTTGATTTTATACATGTTATTTTGTGCCTTCGTCAAAGTAGGAGTGTTGCTCGCAGTTTGTTTCTCCAATGCTCTCTTACAAAGTTCTTATATCCAAACCCTGCTTATTTGATTATTTACCTCGATTCACCAACCCCATAACTACAGTCACTAATTAATGACCCCATAACCATACATGCTATTAAATGGTGTTGTTTTTTCATGACAAACTTCTCGAATTTTATTTCAAAGCCACAAAATGTTAGTAAGAGATTTTATTTATTTAATCTATGGGCACTTATAGACATCTATGTTTTTTGTCATTCACGTTAACCTGGCTTCAAATAAGAGATATCTATCTGCAGATGCAGTATCATAATCAGAAGTTTCCATCAACAATTCAAGGACAAATAATAACAATTTGCAAGATTGAATCACTAAAGTGGCCACATTCTTTAATTTATTGCTAGTAATACATTAATCATGTATTAATTTTTTCAGCAGTAGTCGATACTTGGCTACACACCCATCTCCATGTTAATTTTTCTATTCATATCATAACCACATAACGATTTCGATAAAGAAAGTTCATCATGTGGAAGGAGTTATTACATGCTACTATTTATTTAAGGAGAAGCATTCTTTGAAAAAGTGGAGGGTGTATCATGGCTGCTAGGTGGAGGAAATAGTGGAGGGAAAGGAAAGGGAAAAGCTGCTGGTGGTGGGGATGGAGTTAAACCTGGCACTGTTGGGAAAGGAAACAGTGGTGGTGATGTTCCTGTTGAGGGAGGCTGAAATGGGTTAGGAACAAGTGGTGATGTTTCTGGTGGCTGTAATGGGTTAGGATTTAGAGATGGTGGTTGAAGAGGGTTGGGGACTAAAGGTGGTGGTTGAAATGGGTTGGGTACAGTGGGTGGTGGAAACAATGGGTTAGGAGGAAATGTGAGGCTACTAGGGTCGGCTATTTTCTGATCTGAAGATTGAACATTTGGGGACTTACTGGTAATTCCTGCTGGGACTGGTGGTGACAATGATATTCCTGGAATGGGTGACAAAAGAGGGAGTGGTGGCAATAATGGTGGAAGGTCAGGTAATCCAGGAAGGGGAGGAAGGAGACCACCGGGTGTCTTTGGATCCTGAAGTGGAGGAGGAAATGATGGATCTATTTTTGGAGGAAATATAGTTTTCACAGAATCAGGGCCTTTCATGTTTTCAATGCTTGGTTTTTGGTTACAAAGATTTGGCTGTTTAAGAGGCTTGAATGAGAAAAAGCCAGCTGAGAATATGTGTAGTCCTTGCTTTCTGGACTTGAGGCGCAGTGAGGAGGAAGTTGCTGCCGAGGCCACTGCACAATACGGCTCACTGCTATTTATTAATTTCACAGTGCATCCCTTGATTCTCTTCACATGTTTGCTCACAGAGAAAGGTAAATGCACCTTGAACTCCCCATGCTCATCTGTCTTCACTTCTTTCCTGAACCTTGGTTTTGTTCTCCAATATCCATCTTTGCATTCTACGGCAACTGATGCACCTGCCATAAAGAATATAGAAAAACATTTATTCAGAATCAAAATTTATACCATGTTTGTTAGTGTTAGAGATACGAAACTGTGAACCGTTTTAAAAAAATAACTTAAGCAGTGAAACTGCACCTGAAATGAAGTGATTGCCCATGGAAAAATCCTGCTGGAAGCATGTGTCACAGTAGACAGTACCAACCACAACAGCGGAGGGAAGCTTCTTGTCATGGTTAACCTCAGAATGAGTCGTACCAAATGTAAGACTGAGGAATAGTATTACAAGCAACCAAAACATTCTCAGGTTTACTTCTCTTGGAAACTCTTGTCTATAAGTAAAAGCTATGGGGGGTGATTCTTCTTCCAACTAAAGGCTATATCATGTATACTATTGAAGTATGTTTATCACTCTTCCCTTCCTTATCTTTTCTTTCTTCTCTCTTGCTGTCTTTTATATACCGAGTCAAACACAATAATTTTTTATAGCCCTACAAATGATGAGAGTATTTATTTCTATCATGCGAAAGCCAGTCAACTGTCAACTAAATTACAGTAATTGTAGGCTTGTTTTCCCATCACCAAACAGCTAGGAAAGAAGGTAATTTGGTGGGTGGAAAGGTTATATAAAGAGAAGCTCCTAGTTACTGTTCTATTTAATTGAATGTTTGTTTCTTTCTTTGTATGAAAATAGAAAAAAAAAGGTATGTTTGTGTCAATTTGGTTCACGAGACAAAGAAAGTAGCCACAAAATCTTATGCTCCTGCTGTATTCACGTTGAGAGCTAGCCCAACTGTGTTAGCATGACCTGTTTGAATTTGAATTCCAAGCTGCAACGTGTGAGCACCTTGTGAAGCAGATATGCATGTGAGTCTAGGGATTTTAAGATGATGGTTTACGTACTTAAATATAAGCATGTACGAGAAAACAGAAATGATATTTGTCCTCATCTCAATCAGATTGAAGTTAAACAAAAATACTTTCAGCCGAGTGTAAACAGTAATGTTATCAGTACATCATTTTTTCTACAATGTTCTTTATGGACAAATATTATGATGTCTTTGTTCTAGAGTATATGATAAATAAAGTGCTTAACTTACTATACCGTTGAATTACCTTCCACTTATTTGCTGTTAGTTCTGAGTTTGATATTTGTGTTGTCTCAAAGTAAACATCCATGTACTTATTGAAAATGTTACATACATGCCGGAATTTATTAGCATGATATAATTAAACTTCTTTAAATATAAATTCGAAAACAGATTCCCAATGATTTCTCACAGGTCCTGTGAACCTTTAAATTATACTATATCAGTAACGAAAAGATTGTTTCATTGATGTGGTTTATGAAGAACTCGTGTTCCTTGGCTTCCAATCTATACGGAAGTTTTCAAGAGGATCGCAAATTAGTGTACTTGCCCTGTATATACAGCTCATATTTACTGTGATCACGGTATGCACACCCGTATCACTTTGTATGTACATAGTAGACGCAGGCCAAGCAGGTCAAGTAGTTCATTTGTTTTACAGTAGAATACTATAAAAATGGCCATTAGATTCATAAATAAAATATTAAACAGTGTGAATTAGAGTTATTAGCAACTTCTTCTATCATTTAGGAACAATTCAAAGTATATTTGATGGAGACGAAAGTAAAGAATGGTATAATAGGCATATGCGTAATATTTATGAGAGTAGGAAGTGGAAACCCATGACGTGGGACCATAGGATTTGTTCGACTGAGGGAATGCAATGATTTTGTCTTACTAGGAGAGAGAGAGAGTGAGAATTTCCTTTTAGTTGGAAAGATAATCATTGGGGTAGAGGGAGGGGGGATTGACGATTGAATTGTCTCCCTCTGTTTTTTTTTTATTCCCTCACTTCTTGTTTTTGGTTTACAATCATAATAACACGTATCATTTTTTTTTCTCTCGGGGTGTTTTTCTGTATTGTGCTAGTTGTTACTTATCAATTGGTATCACAACACGATTCTAGGAGTGGATGGTCCTTACTCGGAACGCCATGGAGAGACGCATAGATGGGCTCGAACAACAACTAGTGGAATTAAAAAACTTGATTATATCTTGAGATCGATCGCATAGTGGCAGACCCCACCAACGCCGTTCATACCGACGGTCGAAGAGAAATGCGGGGGTGAATGGAGAGGTTGAGAACAAGGATGGGGAAGACCGAATGAGCTCCCTTTCTCGAAGCGTGAGTAGCGACTCATCACGAGACTTTGGGGCAGAAAATTGGAGATTCCGATATTCAGAGGCGAAGACGCTTATGGGTGGATCGTTCGTGCTGAATGATACTTTAAGTTGAATTTAGTAGAAGAAGAGGAAAAGCTGGATGTTGTAGTTATTGCTTTGGAGGATAGAGCATTGAGCAGGTATCAATGGTGGGAAGAGCAAAGTAATACTCAACTGGGAGGAGTTCAAAGGGGCGCTAATCAGACGTTTCTAGCCATGATTGGTGCAAAATCCTTTCGGACCATTGTTGAAAATTAAACAAATCGGTTCAATTATGAAATACAGGGAGAAATTTGAAAGGGAATCGACTCCATTGAAGAAGGAGGAGAGAATTATGTTGAAAGGGATATTCCTCAATGGCTTGAAGGAAGAAATTCAAGCGGAACTAAAACTACACACCATGGGCACACTAGAAGAGCAGATGGATAAGGCACTATTGTTAGAAGAGAAAGATAATGTGTTGCAGAAAGTAGGACTGATGAGTTTGGAGAGGAAAATGGGTGAGAAATCTGTGGCCAAATCTAATAGAGGTTTCACAAGATGGGAGAAGGGAGGAAATAGAGAAGGAGCAAGTAGTAAACAATTGGAAAGTGAACTAAATGAGAAGAAAGTTTTGGGTGGGGGAGGAAGATTTTCTTAAGCTGAGTTGAGAGAAAGAAGTAGGAAGGGGCTTTGTTTTAAATGTGGAGAGACTTGGGGTCGAGATCATGTGTGAAAATTGAAACACTATCAATTTGTACTAGTGGAAAATTCTCGGGAAGAGGACACCGAAAATAATGAAGGGGAAGAGGAAAAGATAGATATCCTTGAGGCTAAAATGTTACAAATATCTCAAGAGCAAGGAAGAACTAACCTCAAATCAATCATTCAAGGTTAAAGGGAGGCTAGGAGGAACGAAGGTTCTAGTGTTAGTGGATTACGGAGCATCAACAAATTTTATCTCAAAAAATTTGGTTAACCACCTAAAGCTGGTGTTAGACAAATGACATCTAGAGGGGATGAATAGATGCACAAATTGAAATAGATGTCAAATTAAAAATTTATTTTAAGATGTCTAATTTTAATTATCAAATTGAACAAATATAAAGCGGAAGCGATATAATCAAAGAGATATAGGGAAAGATATAAGTGCACAAATATAAGGAAAACAAAATAGAAGGGTAATATAGTGAAGGAAAAAGAGTGATTAAGGGAAAAGAAGAACACACAGTAATTTATACTGGTTTGAGTATAGTCAATCCTACATCCAGTTCTCAATCACCTCTAACACAAGAGTGACTCCCAATTTATTATCTTTAAAATTCAATTTACAAATTACAATTAACTCAACAGAGGAACCAGTAAAAAGTAAACTAATTAAAAAGACAATCACCTCCATAGAAACCCACTAAGGATGAACACCTCCCTAGAATCCCATTAGGGATGAACACCTCCTCTGAACAAATCAAAGATGAAAAACACCTCCTTTGCCACCAACACACAAATGATGAACACCTCCCTAGAATCACACTATGGATGAACACACATTCCTGAACAAATCAAAGGGATGAACAGTTTCCACACAGGAAACCCAAAGAAATATAACATAATAAAAGTAATCACTTAAACCCTAAATAGGGAATTTAACATCAACTTCCTAAGCCCTAGAAAAAGGGATTAAGGCAATAAAATAACAGCAACCACCTAAACCCACAAAGGATGAAGACAATAAAATAAGAACAATCATACCTGGGTAATGGAGATAACAAATTGTAGAAACTTGTAAAATGTCAACCTTCAAGAACAAGTGTGATTAACAATAAAAGTGCAGAAGGCAATAGAGAACATGGTTTTCTCAGAAGGTGTAAAATATATATGTTATCTTGTTCAAAATTCTTTTCTTAAAACTGAATGAATGTAAAATTGTATTTTTGAATTCTGGAATTATGTCTTTTTGATTTTTCATCAAAACTCATTTAAATAGGAAAATAACATCAGAAAATAGTCGTTGGTCATTAATAATTTCATAGAGAAAAATCAGGATGTATCCAAAAACTAGGGATGACAAAACGGGCTAGGCCCGGCGGATCGGCCCGCCAGACCGCCATAATATGGCGGGACGAGTTGGTATTTTCAGCCCACCAACTCGCTTTGGCCCACCCCCGCCAAGCTTGCCAACCTACTGGGTCAACCCGTGGGACGAGGCGGACCAGCCCACGGTCCGTCTAATTAATAAAAAAATAATTTTTTATTAATTATAAAGATAATATATAAAGTTAAAAATTTTAAAAAGAAAATTAAAAAAGTTTCACTCTCACACAAAATTTTCTCCTTACTGAAACATAACATTCTCTCTCCTGTTCTCCTTGTTCATCCTAAGCACTGATTATTTTTATCCTTGTGACTTGAATTAAAGGTGTAAGAATTACTCAACCAAGAATAATGTGAAGTTTTATCAAATAAAAAAGATATAGGTATTTAAATTTTTTAATATAAAAAATATAAATTTTATAAGTTTTAACATTATATATATATATATATATATATATTTGTTATTATTTATTATTATGTAAATTTTATTATGTTCTAAATTATAAATTATTAAAACAATGTATTGATTTATATTATTAAATTGAAATAATATATATATTGAATTATTGACAAACAAATAATAATCTTATTATTAAATTTATTAAAAAAAATATTTTAAAAAATAAATTATTTTTTTCTAAATTATGGTGGGTCGACCTGCTCAGCCTCGCTTTTGGCGAGCCAAAGGTGGGGCAAACCAAAACGGGGCGGGCTGACCTGTTTTGTCGTCCCTACTAAAAACATTTATTCGTTAAAAACGAATATATTTTGGGTTTATTTGAGTCTTGAATATTGTTGACTTGAATCATCATCAAAATCATCTCTTGGGAATGTAGGGATATGTTTCACATTGTCATCAATTTTCCTTTCATTGCCTTCAATTTCCCCGTTTTTGATGATGATCAAGGAAACACCTGAAATGAATTAAAATATTTGAATATATATAGTCAGTTCAAGATTAGCACAGATTTGCACAGTG